CTACTGACGCCAAAAGGGCCATCAATTTACATACCACGGTACCATAGTGCTCTCCGTTAAAGCTGCCATTCAAAACATGGCAGAATGACCATAGAGGTTTCTTATTTAAATAATTGAGTTATTCTATGAATGACAGGTGTATTTTAAAGGCAAGATTCGACAGTTAAACACAATTTATTAAAAAAGTAAATACAAGTTCTTTTTATGTGTACAATTTGCTGGAAAAAATAAGAACAGTGGTACCATAGGGGACCATCCTACATAAATATTTTGAACAATTGTTCTTTTCTCAATATAAAAGCATTATGAACGAAAAAGCTTTGTTTTACTACTATATTTTTTGTTTTCAGAATTCATAGAAACACAAATTACCCTTTTGTAACACTGCTTTCTCCTTGCCATTATGTTACCATAGCGGTTACAGTTGATCATTAAAGAGATCCAAAAGAGCTTTACCAAACAGAATATTCAATATATTTTTAATCTAATTTAATTTAAACTATTAACAGGTGCCTAATTCATTGTACCGATGGATGATCAAAGTTTTAATGTAAAATTTGTATGTTCCTCTGTATGAACTTATTAACAACCTTACCCGCATGTACGAGGGATGATCCAGAAAAACCACGAATGGGGACACCTATTCAATAATATTCTATCTATGTCTACGCTATGCGTAAGTTATCCTTTTCACAAGGAAACAAAATTTATTACAGTTAGAACATTAATTCTATCAGATTAATAAGATTTTAAGTGTTGTTTTTTTCTCAACAATTTGCTCGGAAATAAAATTTTTAATTTATGCAATATTAAAAGTGCTTTAAAATTTTGTCTTGCATTACTTGATTTTGGACTATTTATAAATGAAGCTGAAATGTACCCTAGAGAATTTTTAGTATCAATATTGTCAAATGTTGGTGAAATTGGTTTACATAACTTCATAGTTTTCGCCATATTGGCCATTTAACTTATTTTTTTACCAAAAAATATGATAAACAAGATCAACAAGGAAAGGCGGCGTTCAATGAACGCAACCCCCACACGACCCAGCAACAAGAACCAGCGGCAAGGAGCCCAGACGGACCCCAAACAAAAACAGGACAGGACACAAGGCAGAGTACTTATTGTATAAAGCATAACATAATTGTAAACATAACTGTGCAAAGTGATCATAATAGTGGTATAATATAATAAATAAACAGTTTGACATAATACCAATCAAATAACACGTTTCGCATGTCATCCGCGGAATTTACACAAAAAGTACGTGTTCCAAAGAGACGTTGTATATCTTTCACCATTTGAAAACCATGTCAGAAAACAGTCATCACCGGAAACTATGGTTGAGTTAATGTTAAAAAAGGAGAGATGGCAAAAATAATTGATAGCATTTAATCCTCATTTAAAACTGAAATTTATGAGATTGTAAAAAAAAAAACTGGCAAATGGTGTATTCTTTCAATCATAGATCTTGAAACTAAAACAATTATCTTCATAAATCGATAATAGTTGTCTCAAAATTGAAAACAATAACCTTTAAAACCAATCAAGCAACTTGAATTATCTTCTTACACAGTGCACAGTACAGCAGATAAAATAATGTTTGGTTTTCCGGTTGTCTAGTAGCTTACAATTACCACCACCGTCTATAAACGAGCTCAAACAAACCGAGCCTGCAACATTTTCAATCTTGGTATATATTTGGCGTTCTTTAGAGACTGTGAAACATGGCATATTATACAGACCTAATTTTAAGCTCTTACTTGCATCTTGAAAGAAAAGATAGAATCGATATTATGGAGGATTATTACTTTACGTGAAAGAAAGAAATATTGCAAGCGATAAGGGGTATTGAATGTACTTAGATTAATATCATGAGCCTTTTTATAAAAATCAAATACTGTTTCCGTTCATCATGATTTAATTGTTGATTCTCTAGCAATTGAACACCGCAAAGATAACATTTTAATTTTAGGTGACTCCAAATATTTTAACAACTTGAGTAGTCTTCTACCTTTGACTGGGGCAAGGGATTAGCCATGCTAGGTCCATTTTTCAAAGTGCTAAAATGATATAAATATGGGGGTATGAACGATATAGTTGTTTGGCAAGATCATGTACTTGATATTGCTTCAATCAATTTCAAGGTAGAAGTCATTGGTATATATAGATACAATTTTAGTTATATTCAACTTTCCGCAACAAGTTAACCATTCCTTTCTTTAAGAAATTTTAATACACATTGTAGTGAGAAAGTGTCAAATAGTAAGTGTGAAAATTATGATTGGCACACATATATTTTAAGATATATTCAACACGATTAAATAAATAACAACAAACTATTCCCGTGGGAATGAAAACTTTGTAAATATAGAAAATGTGTCTTGACAATATGAATAATACAGCATCAAATCATTCAATTGAAATATCCAATTAATATGAACGATTTTATATAATTTCATGTTTTTAAATAACACAATTTTTTCAACCATCTATTGTAACACTTCTACATCTACATTTACATGATACTGCTTAACAATCAATTCTGATTATGACTAGCAGGCGCGTTGTCAGGGATCTGTTAATAAAAGAAATTATATATATGCAAATTTAAAAAGTTAAAAGAATAAAAGTTCTACAAGAATGTTAATTTAAAAGACATAGCGTGCAATTTAGAATTTATAGAATGGGTCAAGCCTCACAGTAAAGATGTTTAAACTGGGGCTAAACTGAAAAGTTAGAGGAAGGCTATTCCAAACACGTATGCTCCTAGGAAAGAAAGAATTTTAATGGTATTGTGTCTTCGAGTAGGATATCAGGTAGTTCAGTTTTCTTGTTTGAGTAAGATGTAAGTGGTGTTGTTTTGGATTTTATACAAGTTGGTTACAACACTGATGTTTCGACGCTGTTCAAGGGTTTGCCAATTAAGATCATTTATCATTTTTGAGACACTACTTGTATAGTCATAATCATTAAAAATATATCTAGCAGCTGATCTTTGGACTTGCTCTATCTTATAAATTAAATATTTCTGCCAAGGATGCAAAACTATGGAGCAATATTCAACCTGAGGTCTAACATAGGTTTTATATGCAGTTTCCTTTGTCTTTTTATTTGGGGTGTTTAACATTTTTTCTAACAATCTAAGTTAGTTATTTGCTTAAGATGCAATGTTATTAACATTTTTGGTCGATGAAAGGTCTTAACTAATAGTGTGACTCCTAAGTATTTTGCTTCTTTGGTTGAGTTAAGTTGAATGTTATGGAGGGTATAAGGAAATATTACAGGGTTTCTTTTTTTGTTATCATGAGGACTTCACATTTATCAGGGTTAAACTCCATTGACCAGTCTTTTTCCCATATTTCTAAAGCATGTAGGTCATCTTGGAGGGTTTGGGCATCTTGTTTAGATCTTCTATTTCTATTGTATAAGTGAGCCGCGTCATGACAAAACCAACATAATGGGTTTGCGACCAGCATGGATCCAGACCAGCCTGCGCATCCGCGCAGTCTGATCAGGATCCATGCTGTTCGCTTACAAAATCTATAACAAGTAGATAAACTGATAGCGAACAGCATGGATCCTGATCAGACTGCGATTCGGCTGGTCTGGTTCCATGCTGGTCGCAAAACCATTATGTTGGTTTTGTCGTGACGCGGCTCAAGTATTGTTTTATCTCTTTCTTTCGAAGGAAAGAACAGTTGTTTATTTATGCTTAACAATCATGATTTGAAGTTTGTGAAATCATTCTCGAGTGGTAAATCTCACGTGTCGTTTAGAAATTAATCGTGCAAAAACAATAATTAAATGGTATGTGTTTGTTAACTTCATTGAAATAACTAACATTTGTAAATTAAGTTAAAGTACAACTACGAACTTTTGATTTATGTTACAATGTATTATATTCTTGTTCTTCATTTCATTCTTGGTTTATTTGCTAGCTTTAGGGAATTTTAAAGTAGATCTGCTGCTTCTATTGTTAACAACACGTTTTAAATTTCACAGTATGTTGCTCCTCATGAAATAGACTAATGATAATTGAATCTCCCTTTTCCTAACTTCAACTCACGTGAAAGGGAGGAAAGTCAATAAAAGAAACATGTGTTTTCCATACGTGTTTATTGCTCTTGTATGCTCGTTAAAAATAAACACGTTCAAGATTTATTGATTGCATCATATCCAGATAGGTTAAAATACAAATACACAATGTATAGCTATCGTTCTTATGCTGATAAGAAATGGTTCTACAGGTTCTTTTCGAACACTATCATAATCAATGAATATATATAGTAAACTTTAGTATAATATTTGGGGTAGATGTCAAAAAAATCTTTTATGATGGCATTCAACAATTTTAGTGTTTTTCTGGTCCTTCGGAATCAAATAATCTAGTGTTTGACATTGAATACCACTAAGGCCGACCACTATGGGTGTCTGTGGCCGAGTGGTTAAGGTCGTTGACTTCAAACAACTTGCCCCTCAACGCTGTGGGTTCGAATCCCGACAGGGACCTTGGATTCTTTCATGTGAGGAAGCTTTCCAGCTAGCTTACGGGACGTCGGTGGTTCTACTCAGGTGCCCGTTCGTGCCTGAAATAATGCACGGAGGGGCACCTGAGGTCTTCCTCCATCAGTAAAGCTGGAACGTCGCGATATGACCTATACTATGTCGATGTGACGTTAAACCCAAAACAAACAAACAAACAAACCACTAAGGCCACTGCTAGTGGGCTTTTTACTATTATAAATACTCAATAAGATTGAGTCTTTTCTTTTATATCTTAATTTTCATCGAGAGAGCACCTCTTTTCCAGAATTTTAATGAAGCTAAATGTGTCAATTACCGTTTGAGAAGTATTTATCTGCGCCTGTTTCTAAATTATGTTATACATTGTTTTAGATCTGACATAAATATGTTTCGAACTTTGGTCAAATCCTTGAAAAATATATAGATACGTAAGTGTGTGAATATTGGTAGGATGAAAAGATTAAACAATCATATAAACATCTGCATAATTTATTTAAGAAAATTTTCATCTTAGTGAATATACACAATTTGTTCTACCTTCTACAGTATGCGTTCACATTTCACTATTTAAAGCACAAAAGCATTTAATGTTCAAAAAGAATTTTTGCAATTTTAACAAACGTCAAGGTACTTCCAAATCTGTGAATCTCAACTGGCAGTCATTCAGTAAACCACTGTATCGAAATAAAAAAATAAGGTATATAAACATGGAATACTTAAAGAACGCACAAAACGATAAATAGCTCTTTGTTATATTGTTCATACATTGTTGTCGTATTATAAAACAAAAATGACAGAAGAACAAATTACATCATCAAGAAATGAATGTGAGGATAAGATGAAGCGTTAAATTAACTTTTCAAATTATTCAAGTTTTAAAATCGAGGATAAATGTTTAAATGATACAGTATAGAATTACCTTCACATGTTTTTCTTGCCAGTATGTTGGAGATGTCCTTCAGTGTACTGTAACCACCATTCACATCAAACATATATTCAGGTCTTGAGGCAATGTTACTCAGTTCGACTACATCTATTTTTTTTCCTACGCCTGTAAACAAGCAAATATTTAAATGATATGAGCCGCGTCATGACAAAACCAACATAATGGGGTTGCGACTAGCATGGATCAAGACCAGCCTGCGCATCCGCGCAGTCTGATCAGGATCCATGCTGTTCGCTATCAGTTTCTTTACTTGTAATAGGGTCTGTAAGCGAACAGCATGAATCCTGATCAGACTGCGCGGATGCTCAGGCTGGTCTGGATCCATGCTGGCCGCCAACGCATTACGTTGGTTTTGTCGTGACGCGGCTCATTTGTGTTTGCTAAGTGAATACCAGATGCAATATTTTCTTGAGTATCGTTTTTTTCATTCATTCCTTGTGGTCATTAATTTAGCCTAATCACATCACAAATACATACATTGTACATAGGAAATACTAGGATTTAATATGGTTTCTAAGAAAAATACAGAACGCCGAATTGTTGCACGCAGTAACGATCTCCCGAATCGCTGCAACAATAAAGCTGCATCGTAAGCACATGCGTTTGGAATGCCTTGGTCGCTCTTAGGACGATCTGACTTCATAGTTTTCAGATTTCTTTGCAATAAAACGACACTCTGGAAAGTTAAACAAGGCCATTCTATCGTAGAAGCAACACCGTGGAAGAGGTTTAACACGTATAATTACCATATGTAAGTACATGGACTCGTACACGTTATATAATTGCTAATAACAAACTCACCAATTGCAATAACTTCAACGCCTTCTTGATGTAACATATCAGCCTGTGAAGCCGTCAGTTTTTGCTGTCTTGAGACACCATCGGTTATTACAATGACCACGCGATCTACACCTTTTCGTGCACCATGCTCGAATGATAATAAATCATTTTGGACTTCCTAAAGATATAACGACAGAAAAAAAACAATTATCAGCAAGATACAAATTATGCAATCTTAAATATGTTCGTTCATTTTTCGACCAATAAAAACGTCAAAATTTGATACCATTTTAGAATTTGTCTTTGACTAGGCTTTATCTATATTATATATGAGCAGAAATCAATTCCTATTTTCTATTACATCCCACCCTAAAGTACCTTCAATGCAAGATGTGTATTTGTTTGTAGGCCTCCTTTTTGCTTCGCTGCAAGAATGGCGTTTTTGACGTCATCAACGTTAGCGTAATTATTCAGGTAGAAATTCACTTGTGTGCCAGTGCTGAACGTCAGAAGTCCAACCTGCAAATTAACCATATTTAAATGTTAAACCTTTGAATTGGTAGGGTTTGGTTAAATTAATGTTTGCATGCATTTTGATTTGTTTCATTCCTCTGAAATCTTAAGCTTTATATAATGACCTGAAATATGTCAGAGTTGAGCAGTAAAGTACAATCGCAATGCTTTCATGTAGCATTAGCTAGCATAAATACATACCCGTGTATTTCCAGAGTTAATGTCAAAGACGTCGACGAGATCAGACAGAAACTTAAGTTGTGTATCGAAATCTACTTCCCAGATACTGTTAGACATATCCACTGCAAATATGACGTCTTTCTTCTTTCCCCTGCATACTAAATAAATACATGTTGTCAATCATTTCTAAGCAAAGTTAGTAATATGGACTTTTAATGCTTTAAAATAATTTTTAAAAAGTATTCAAAGTAGAACGGATTTTAATATCGTTATAAAAATGTTAAGCTACCAACTCCATGATGTTCAAACTGCTCTGGCTCTCTAGTGGCAAAGTGGCCTTTAATTATGTGAATGATTTTCAGGGCCACCTTCTTTTTGGGGAAAATGACCATATGACAACTCGCACATGTTCATTGGCGGTCTGATATCCTTAATAAACGCATTTAAATAGTACAAATGCATGTTCTTTTCGTCTTCATTGTTCAAATTCAAAGTCAATTTCAGAGTTGCAAACACATACTAGTATTTTATCTTTTATCTAACAATAAGTCGGTATCAGAACAAAAGAATACTTACGAACTTCAGGATTCTCTGAAAATATAAAAGAAAGCTTTTACTTCCTATTTGATGAATTTGATAATACGTAATAAATTGTATAACATTATGATTTTTCTAATTTTCGGAAGGAACATACTAAAAAAAAATTTATGGTATTTTAATTCAATTTTAAGGTAGACCCTGGGTAATGGGCATTATAAGGAACTGTAAAATTGACAACATATGCCAGTTATATGTCTTAATGATCAGCTGTTTGCAAAATTTAAATGACATTTACCGTGTGGTTTATGAGTTATGGGTATATTTCTGAACTAAAACTTTGCTATTAGAAGTGTTTTTTTTTCTTCAGAAATGTGGAAACTCTAAATAATTTATAACATCATCATTATGAAAAATGTTTTCCTATTGCTATAAAATACTTTTACCTTGTATTTTTATTCTATTACACTTGAATAATATCTGATATCATATTTGCTATTAAATTTGGCATGATTTAGCAAATAAATACGTACAATTATTATATAATTAAAATCAAACACTTTTTTCTACCGAAAAGGATCTGAGAGATACATAAATAATGTAAAAAAAGAAAGAAAAAAAGTTTGGCCCTTCTGAGGTTTGACCCCACATCCCTCAATTTCAATGCAGTTGACAAGTGATTCTAGCCTATTTGAATACTCTTCAAGGTGGAGGTAATGCATTACCCATGGTCTACCTTAACATTGTTAAATCATTTATTGTGTCCATAATTTTATATAACTTTATATGAAATGATTATTTACTGTGGGAGTCCGTGGCTGAATGGTTAAAGTCGTTGACTCACCGCTGTGGGTTCGAATCCCGACAGGAATTTGGATTCTTTCATGTGAGGAAGCTATCCGATGGTTCTACCCAGGTGCCCGTTCATGCTTAAAATAATACATAGAAGGGTACCTGAGGTCTTTTTCCACCAGTAAAGCTAGAACGTCGCCATATAACTACCGGTAGTTATAATATCGTTTGTCGTTAACGGATAAAATAGAAGAGAAAACTAAGCGTAGTTTAAGGAAATGAAGAACTAAAATATAAAATAATTACGAGGATCTGGAGCCGGTGTCGTAACCTTGGGTGCTGTATAAATAAATGAATAACATAACATTACATAATATAATATAGATAAATGTAAACAAAATGGAAAGCGTTATATAATCATATGTCTACAACATCAGGCATCAAGAGCCTTTAAGCAGTTGTAAAATTATGATGTTTTAATTTTCAGGTCCTTCGGGGTTATTGAATCCAATACTTTATTGTGTTATAGAAATACTGTTTAAGACGGTGCTAGGATGCGCAAGAGATGTTGCACTTTCCATTATTTCACATGAACGGACTTGCTAAAATTCATTTTGCAACTGTATTTTTATTGCTCTGGAGGGATCTCCCTTTTCTAAAGTCAGTCTTATATTTAATCGTTGTCTTTAAAACATTATTTTATTATTCGTTCTCATTTGTTGATGCTGTTTGTTAGCTGATAATGAATTTAACATATCACATATGTCAAGCGTAAATTTAACATTCAATTTTCTTAACAACAAAATTTCGTCAAATATGAATTTATGATAATGTTATTTATTTTCAATGATATCAATCAAAGTAATTATTGTCAATAATTTGTTTATCAAGAAGTAAAGATGCGTTAATAACTTTATAGGAATTTTATACAATGATAGTGCCTATAGAGCAGCAAAACATTTACAAGTAATTGAGGTAATCTAGCGATAATCGTTACCAGGTGACGTGAAAATCGTGCACAATATACAATGGATACTTACTTTCACACGCTCGAACAGCTAGAATTTCCTCGAACTGTTTTAACGCACCATATCCATTGACTTCAAAAACATACTGTGGTTTTGACGCTATTGCATGAAGTTCGTTCACATCTATTTCATCACCAACACCTATAGATGAACATGCATACTCTTTGTATTAATATAATATAAGTTTTAAAGCTAAATTTTATTGTGCAAAGTCGTTTTCCAATGAGTCCAGAAAGTCTAGATTCTTTCCCTTATGAATAAGCGTAGTTAAATGACGTTCGTAATTAACTTCTTTAGCAATACAAGAGGTAGAATATGGAAAGTCGACCCGGCTGCAAGTATTTTCAATTGGTCTATGGTAAAGAATATAGAAACTTTTTCTTAAAAATTGTAGTAATAGCACCAGAACATTAATTTACTAACTAAAACATATTGAATAAGCAAAAGTTATGGAAAACAGTAAAGAGCACCAAGGTTTTCTGTCAGAAGTACCTAAGTAAAATCAATTAAGTCCTGGCTGTTGTACTTATTTGTAAATTAAAACAAAAGAATACTTCTTAAATGGCGTCTATAGATTGATTTAACAGACACTTGCCTTTTAATATTCATATTTACAAAGTGTGGAAAACTCCAGTTAATAAATATATTACTTATATGGCGAAGACTTCAAAGCTTACTTTATAAAAAAGATTAATAATTGTTTATTTTAGCAATGACGTTTTCCTCCCTGCCTTACCGATAGCAAAGACGTCAATTCCTGCTTGATGGAGAAGACTAGCCTCTACTGCAGTCTGTCTCGGGTACCGGGATACACCGTCTGTTATTACCATACAGATGTGGGCAACATCACGTCGGGAACCATGCTCTGCGCTGAACATTTCATATCGAGTTGTCTTGGAGGAAAATAGAACAAAGTTAAAACCAGGTCGTAATAGAAATGCAGACACAGCACTAAATATTTCATCCTTGTGATTCACATACAGATATATATTATGCATTTGAGCGAGTAATAAAAAAACAACATAATTCTAATATTATAGTTTACCGCTCTTTCACCGTCAAAATTTAAATAAACATTGAATTACATTTTGTATCAATCAGGAAATATTCATGTGATCATATTAAGGTATAAAACTTAAAAAAATAGTTATTCATTTTTGTACATATTAATTTAAAGAATAAATAAACGAAACAAAAACGTAAAAAACGTGGTTGAACACATCAGACATACTGATAGGACAGACATAATAGAAGAATTGATTGACATACACTGGGATAAGAACTCACCTTTAAAGCTAGGTTTGTATAAGTTAACCCTCCGAGGGTCTGAACGCTTAGAATTGCTCTTCTTATATCTTCCTGGGTAGAGTACTGGTCCAGATAGAACTGGACAACTGAATTGTTACTGAACGTTATCATTCCAACCTAGATGGTCAACATTATATGTATTTATAGGTTAAATATACTTTTTAATGATTATTTCTTACTACATGACTTTCATATCCTTATTACTCGAAACTCTTTATCTAGATGATTGTGAAACAGAAAGTATGCAATTCAAAGTCGAGCAATGTATTTTAAACAATGAGCAGATTAAAAATTCTTTTCCCCTTTTGATCATATCCCATAAAGCAGTATCGAAATAAATGTTTCTATACACTATCTAATCAATACTGAAGAGGATATAGTAATAGAGTGAGACTAAAATAAAGTTTCCTTTTAAAAGGAAAGGCTTGCACAGTTGTGCCTTCATACCAACCCTTTAAAATTGTTTTTGTTTTTTTTGGTTTCAATTTATTATCACATTTTTTTTAATTACGGTATCTGTATATCATAAAGGGTTTATTTAGTTTTTTTGTTTTTTTTGGAAAACCAAATATTTTTTGTCAAAACGATTTGAAATCTATTCTCTATTGTATAAAACTAATAAAGAAAATGATCAATCGTAAAAATACTAACGTGATACTGAAAGGAAACAAGTGTGCACATTTCATTTCCCCTTTTTCGCAGCGAAATCATTCATTTGCTTTATAGACAAGTAAATGCACTAAAATACTTCGTTACGTGGTACCAATTAATAAGCATGTATCAACTATGTTACACGATCACAAATAGACGATGCGCTATCTGTAGATCAGCACGTTGCAAGGTTAATGATATGCATGGGCTATTTTTAGATTACCTCACCAAGACGTTGAATTGCGTTCAGTAGATCTAAATATAACTCGATCATGCGTGATTTGGTAAGCATGACCACCCTTTGAAGACGGAATACTACTACAGTCACCATTTTCTATTGTATAAAACTAATACAGACAAAAAACAAGTAAAATGGTTTCCTGCGGTGAACATTTTAATGATATAAAGATATTTCATTTAACTATTTTCAACATTTTTTATTTTTTTTTATTTTTTTTTTTTTTTTGTGGGGGGGGGTGGTAAATAAAATAAACGTTTGAATCAAGAATATAGTTGACAATTGAATAAATGATCAATATAGAAGAAGCTAGGTCTTTGGAAACTGATGACCGTTGAAGACCGGAGAAGGTCGAACATAAAACAATTATTTCTTTTTAAGAAAATGATTAGATAGGCCTACCATTTTATGAATAATTCCGAGCAAAAAAATAAATAAAGTAAACACACAAGTTTACGCAGAAAATATCTCTATTTATTATGGCAGATGCCACTACGAACATTTTAACTTTGTAGATTTTCAGTATAAACAATTTATTGTTTGTAAAATTTGAGATAGATATTAAAGAAACATTGATAATTTTCAAACACATCATTCAAGTTTTTTCCACCTTAAACGGTAAAATGATTATAGAAAATTAGAAAAATCACGTAATAGTTTTTGTTCTTAATTAGGGGTAATTCGGACTAATTCCCTACAGGTAAATCTGTAACGTACCGGCAAACGGTATTTAGCTAGGATTTCGAAAAGGTCAATTAACCAATCATGTACGGTTTACAGATCACATGCTCCTCCATGTACCGAAAACAGGTCACGTGTTCCTCCATGCCTCAGAAGTTAAACGCGTACCAATACCCTGCGGTCTCCAGACCTCAGGGAACAATTATAAAAGAAACTAACTTTTGCGTCTTGAAAAACAATTGAATCGGAACAATTTCGTTTATAATTTATTACGGTTTAAACCGATAAATCAAGTAAAAATAGAAATCCTATTTATATAAACAAACTGGGATTACCGAAGTAACTAAAATAGCTTAGATTTCCGTAATATTACTTCGTCTGATTCCGCAGTATGACGGAATCGCCCGAATTGTCACGATTGCAATCGGAACTACATCGGCTATTATCATTAATCCGAAGAGTGACGGAAAAGGCCGAAAAGTGGCGATTGGCACGATTGCAGCTGGTTTCCCGTTCAATCATGCACTAACAATTGGAAACAGGAAACCACCTTACCGGAACAAGTTATTCAAAATATTTGGCTAGCAGCCGTGGCTGCAAGCCAAAAAGGATTGGAGGACCACACTAAATACCGTATTCCTCTACATACCGGGCAAGGCGCTTGAATCATAAAATGCTAAAATCTTGCCTTTTTACCCAACGGAATGAACTGAAATAGGTCTAATTCATCTTTTCTCACCGATTTATGTATGATAATGAATGAAAAATGTAAAAATCGGCGAAAAAACGATATTTATCTATTTTGTGATCATGATTTCTGCAAGCGTCTAAAGGTACTGCTCCAATCCTGTAATGAGTTAAATCCATAGTAATAAAATGTAACAGCAAAGTTAATATGCCTTTCATTCCGTTTTCTTGTGTTACTAGAGAAATATCTTCCGTGACTAAAAAAACAATGGAGATATCCTAGTAATTTGGATTTCATGTCTGAATTTTTTAACATTCATTTATCTGTGGATCTCCCGCGTCATGACAAAAGCAACATAATGGGTTTGCAACCAGCATGGATCCAGACCAGCCTGCGCATCCGCGCAGCCTGATCAGGATCCATGCAGTTCGCTTACAAACCCTATTACAAGTAGAGAAACTGATAGTGAACAGCATGGATCCTGTCTGGATCCATGCTGGTCGCAAAAACAAAACGTTGGTTTTGTCATGACATGGCTCAAATTTTATTTAATGCTTTACATTTTCACTTATATTGTGTTTACTCACTCTTGTTTTTCCAATGTCAAAGAAACTGGTGATGTCTGCCAGGAACTGTAGCTGTTGTTTGAAATGTACTGACCAAATACTGCTTGACATGTCGACAACAAACATCACGTCTGCGTTCTTTCCCTGACAAGCTTAATAACGCGGGAAGATATACATGCATACATAAAAACAGACGACACAGGAATTTAATTGAAGATAATTGAGCCGCGTCACGACAAAACCAACATAGTGCGTTTGCGACCAGCATGGATCCAGACCAGCCTGCGCATCCGCGCAGTCTGACCAGGATCCATGCTGTTCGCTATCAGTTTCTCTAATTGTAAAAGGGATGGTAAGTGAACAGCATGGATCCTGGTCAGATTGCACGGATGCACAGGCAGGTCTGGATAGATGCTGTTCGCAAACGCACTGTGTTGGTTTTGTCATGACGTGGTTCGTATAGTTATTAACCTATTGCTTCTATCGTTACAAAATGTTTCAAGTATATCACAGACCTAATGCTAACCTAATTAAAAGAGCTAACATGGAATATACATGCACAATTTTTCAGTCAAGTCATATCATAGTTGGAAATCGTAAAAGATGAATTTGAAAATAATTTGTAATATTTCCTGTAGGAAGCCTTCTAACATGGTACACAATATTAAGGTTTCGCAAGGGTAAAATAAAATATTTAGTTATTTATTTACAATAAAAACACACTAATGAATAAATAAGAATTTCGATATTAGAAGGTCGCTAAAGTAAACATATTTTTTCTTATTTCCCGAATATATACATGTATACATTTACAATAGAAATAAAACATTTTTATATTCAAGAAGAGGATTAGAACGAAAGACTATAAGCTTGTGTCATAAAATTCTACTTTTTTAGTGTATTTTTTATAATGTGGCGAGTTTGTACTATATCAAAAAGTATGTCAAATAGGGAATATAAATATTAACAATTATTTTAAAGAGCTACTTACTTGTATCAGGATCGGGTCGATCGTCTTGGCCTGTAATTTAGATTTATGTAGTTTGTTTTAAAATTTTGACCTTTTTAAAATTTACTATAATCTTATGACAAAATAGAATTTCACAATAATTGCTAATATCTTATGTTGTTTATGTAAGACAAATGTTTCACTTATATTGTGTCATTATGGCGAAGAAGTCATCTACTTGAAAATATATCAAGAAAAAATAATTATTACCTTCTGTCGTAGTTGGACGAGGAGTGATTAATTCCCCTGAAAACATACATTTTTATAATAAATAAGTGTAAAGAATATAGTTTCTATTGAGTATATGAGTATACAAAGTGAAGTTCAACACACAAAATAAACAATACATTGCCTGTTACTCTTAGTCTTAGATAAATGAAACTGAGCTTTGGTGGCGTTGTCATAGACCGTAAAGAAGAAAGGCAAGCACAAAAGAGGAGAGATGATTGTGTGTTATCATTGGCCAATTGATGATATAAATTATAAATGGATAAATAATATATAAATGTGGATAAATAATATATAAATGATACATACCGCCACACGCTACTTTTCCAATTACCTGGTACATCAATAAATCTTTGAGTTTATCGAATGTAGATGAATGGAAATAATACTTGTCAGACGGAGATGATACAACGGCCCTTAATTCAGACTCATCCACCTGATGATGACAAGAATAAAATATGTAGACTACATTGCTACTGGCCATGAAGACAACGCTGTGTTCGTTTTGTTTATGTCGAAAATGTATAAAATAACGATAGAGGTGTGAAATCCGTCGTTATGTATGAAGAAAATTTATTCAGTGTGATCTCGGCAATTAAATATATTTCAAATTGAATGTTAGTAAAACATTACTTTTCTGCTAATCAGAAGCAACGAAATCTTAAAATCTTTAAACATTAAACTTATAAAGTTCCTAATTAATTTACTTTGTTTACTTTGCGTTTTGCAATAACTAGTCATTTCAATGTGAGATAGACATGATAAAATCGTATCAAGTTTTTTATTTTACCTTTTTTTAATTTACATTGTTTATTTTAACTTTCTTAAGCTACATTGTCACTGGTTAGAACGTATGTCGGTCTGAACGAGGGATTTGCAAGTTGGGTAGATTTTTTATGTAGCGGAAGCTAGGGTTTCTACGGATAACCCTAATCATGTATATAACATACGATAATAAAACCTGTGTAAAGTACTCACATCCTTTCCAACGCCAATAGCAAGAATTGTAATACCAGCATCTTTTGCAAGTTTCGCTTCTTTAAGAGTACCAGTCCTGTATGTTGATCGACCATCTGTCAGCAATATAGCAAGTTTTCGAACACCAGAACGCGCACCGTTGCTAGACGAGAAGATATTTGTGCGCATTCTCTCTAAAGCTTTATTCGTAAATGTAGCATCTCCCTGTGCATGCCTTATTTTTCCAATCTAGGACATTGTTATAAGAAATAGTCACTTTTAATGAAAAGAGTTTAGTAAAAACAAATTGCAAACATATGATAAATTTCATTTTCAATGATATTCTAATATAGATAAATCCATCTGAAATCTTGTAAATTATTTCAGAATTGATGCAATTTAAAATATATCATACCCTAGCTTGAGCTTCCTGTGTGTTGTCTACATCATTGAAATTGAATTCTGTCCGGGCATCTCTGGAGAAAGTAACCGCAGAGACTTGTATAGAATCAGGTCCAATGTCAAACGTTTGCATCAACTCTTGGACAAATATTTTCTGTTTATCAAAGTTCACTTTTTCAATGCTGACTGAACTGTCTATTATGAATGCTATGTCGGCAGGATTGTCACATAATATAACACCTGAAACATAAACATGCATTATGCACTATATATGAGCCGCGTCACGACAAAACAAACATAGTGGGTTTGCGACCAGCATAGATCCAGACTAGCCTGCGCATCCGCGCAGTCTGATCAGGATACATGATGTTCACTATCAGTTTCTCTACTTGTAAAAGTGTTTGTAAGCGAACAGCATGGATCCTGATCAGACTGCGCTGATGTGCAGGCTGGTCTGGATCCATGCTGGTCGTTGGTTTTATCATGACGCGGCTCATATAGTAAACACAGCAATCTTAATTCTTTGAAGTAGCATCTTCACATCTCATCGCTGCATATACATGATATAATATACACATTTTTAAAGCAAAAAAAAAAAATTAAATGCAATGCCATTCCATACGGTATTATAAATGATGGTCATGAGAAATAACATTTAAATTGAACAATTTATCTAAACAAAACATAGTAAAAAAAATACTGTAATCTAAATTAAACATGGTGTAAAAATACTTTAAAGGAAGAAATAAAACAATTATTTCTAGTAAAACGTATATCAAAATCAATAAGGTTAACTTTTTTATGTATATTTTTCTAAACACGTATTAACAAACGGACAAAATCACACCTTTGTAAACAATACCTTTAATACTTCATGCAATGTTAATTAATTCTTTTATTCATCAACAAAATATATTTGAGCCGCGTCATGACAAAACCAACATACTGGATTTGCGACCAGCATGGATCCAGACCAGCCTGCGCATCCGCGCAGTCTGATCAGGACCCATGCTGTTCGCTTACCATCTCTATGACAAGTAGAGAAACTGATCGCGAACAGCATGGATTCTGACCAGTCTGCGCGGACGCGCAGGCTGATCTGGATCCATGCTGATCGCAAACTCACTATGTTGGTTTTGTTGCGACGCGGCTCATATTTATCTTTTTTTAATTATATAGTTTGAATGAGTCGTTTAAGTTGAAGGTTATTTTTCAGAAGATGCTAATATAAAACCTACCAAGAATTCCCCTCTCCGTCGCTATGACCACCTGTAAAATATGTTATATAAATTACTTAACGCTGAAAATTAAAAAAAAATTGTGACAAATAAATCAGATGTTGAATTGAAGGTTATATAAGAAATAAATAAATAAACAACTTTTCTTTTTATTATTTTTAATATATCATTGACATATCGGACAAATACACATCTATCAAACTTCTTGTGGTCTTATTTATTCATTAATTACGAATTAATGAAGCCTTAAGATATAAATAAAGTTAAACTCATTTGAAATTGCAAAGACATACTACTTAAAATACAGTCGCACAATTTATAGCTTAAACATATCAACATCATTTTTGCTTAATCTGACATCAAAGTCGAAGTTTGAAATGTTCCAATGTAGCACTTAAGAACATTTTTTTTCAATAGATAAATCGATGTAATTTGCTGCAGAGCACTGTTATATATAGCAGAAGTTTAAATTTGCATGCGCACCATAGTTTTAAAGAACATAAATGAAATTCAATAACTTGAAAAGGTGCGGGTATCTTCTATAAGTGTTTTTCGTAATCAATAATGCCTTCATTGATATTGATGAAATACTCTGTTAATTTATTGAATAAAATAAAATAATTATACATGGTACTTATTCAAACATCAGTATTGCTTACCAGAAACAGAAGAGTCAACAAATAGCCAACTTGTGCTGCCATCCTGCTACACTCCAAACAGCTGCTGGATCGGGTGTGTCGTGTTATATAGAGGTAGGAAATTACATAACAACTTTCTAAGGTCACATTTGGCACGATAATAACGTATCTAATTGTCTTGATATTTCGTCTTTTTTAATGTATCAATTAACAATTAATACTATTAACAATATTTGGTTAACCAACTACACCCATTAATGTATTTACAATGTATTTTCCGTATGCAAATTAACTGGTACTAGAAACGTTCTACATGCCCAACTGTGCTTTTATAAATTATACCAAAAATACAGGAACGTGACTTGAATTTAGTTAACTTAGATGAAAAAGGTGGAAGTACAGTTGGCTTTATATAGAATTATGTGCAGTTTAAGGTCCAATATGTTCCAGAATTTTTATTTTTGGTGTCTAATCACGACAACTTTCTGTTGCTTTTTAGCAATAAGTATTGTCAGAGTGATTTTTTACAGGGAAGTCAAAATACTAATTTGTAAACAATTCACTACTTTTATGACAAAATAATTTCACAGTCAGAGCTATTTTCTTCAGGTGTTCTTCATTGAACATGCTCTGAAACATTATTTAAGTGTTATTCAACACATGTTTGCCCTTTCTACAGAAGGAAAAAATCCGTTTTTCGGTGATTGAGTGCCTTTAATATTCATTTTGGCTATACAGGTTTAGTCTAACAATGTATATGTAATATTGTAATTCAGAAATAATAATGTAGTTTAATATGCTGTTAACTCATTATTACAAGGAAATGATATTTTGATGTCCCCAGTTATAATAAGTTCATACTAATGATCGTTTCCTTTATACTGAAGCAATCCAGAATGCAAAAAATGGTCGTATAATTTCAACATGTTTTCTTTGTCAACCATTCAGCAAGATGGTATAGCATGTTCAAACAACTGTTTCTGTTATCTGCACAACTGAATCCGCTTGATTTGTTAAAAGTCCCAATATGCCTTAGATATGCTTTTATTTATATTTCTGTGAAGCTTTTAAATGTTTGTGTTCTGTTAAGGTATCATAAAAGATACTCTTTGGTAAATTACCTGCATCATCTTTAGCTTTTTTGCCATGTTTACAATAAGTACAATTATTGTGATAAAGTATTTAGTATGGAAACCAAAATTTTAATTTGTTTACATTTTACTACATTTAAGACATTATGACTTATTTCTTCAGGTGATAAGCATCTAACATGCTTTATAACCAATATCTAAACGTTTAATAATTTTTTTTTAACAACTCATGTTTGCTTTTTTCTCAAGTCCGTGTATGAGGCACGATGTGCCTTTTTTATTTAACATTAATGCTGTTCAAGTTCTGTAAAGGTCTTAGCCATTTTGGATTTGAAACAGTCTATTTTAAGTTCATTGGTCCAACTATTCAAATACCACAAGTAGTAAGTGCAGATCAGCCTGGTTCTACAATGTCTGCACCGCTAAATAAACTAAGCACATTGGTTAAGCTGAAAATTGCTTCCTTAATTATCATGCTGTTTTAACAAATGACATTTCATTACAAAGTCTTATTTTACATGTTCAGAATTCACATGTCTGGTATTTGTATGTATGTAACCTAAAAACGATTTAATAAAGCTTTTGTCAACAACACTATGTTTGCAAAGTAAATTGTTGATTAATGGCGTTGTTTTTATCACGTGAAATGCTCTAAGTTGCCATGTCACTTATCATATTATTATTAATATACTATGCATTGTTTACTCTTGTGTTGCTATATGTAACTAGAGTTCTGTTCTGTTGTAGTTTATACAAAGATCCTTCGTGAAAATGATTTTCAGTTCTTTTAACGGTTTGTATCGTTTGACTCGGTTAATAAGTTTTTACTGGACACTGTGATTGATAGGTTATGTTAATACATGAGACCGAACAAGATGGATCACCATCACAGTTCCATAGTGTATAGACTTGTAAAGAAGCAGTATCACTTAGGTTAGTGTTTGTTAGTCAGCATTCATGACATTAAATGTCTGTCGCAGTGAAGTTCCGCGACAGATATAATGAAATTTATACTGATTTAACAAACACTAACTTACTTTATGGTTGAAATTACATTTCGAATCTTGAGACAGTATCACAATAATACAATGATTTAATGTGATCTGATGATAGTACTTATTAACACGTTAAATCAAATGTATCCAAGAATTGAAAAAAAAAATGGAACGATTTCATTGGACAAAATACAATTTATACCACTATTCCATCAACTTTGTGTTTTCGAAATGATAGTTAAAGGCCCATTATACATCAGAAATGTTTTGTTTTTGTTTTCTCACATGCCATTTAATTTTCAGTATTCTATTAATGTTACCAAAACGTTACTCATTGGCCAATTACCTAAACCATATTTTGCTTCTGTTGCTTTCTATAGTAATAGTACAAAGAAAATAACTTAATAATTTGTATGGAAGACAAAATACTACTATGATTGTTAACATTCCGCTACTATTGTGACAAATAAAGTCATTTTCAGTGCTATTTTCTCCAGGTAGAAACCAACTTTCATGCCCTAAAACTATTATTTAAACGTTATAAAACTCATGTTTGTTTTTTCCAAAGAAGAAGAAAATCATTTCTGAGGCATACTGTACCTTTATTATGAAAACGCTTTCAAGCTTGCTTAAGGCCTGTAATTAGATATATATAATTTTTAACGAAAGAGAGTATTTTCCCTAGACCAGTTATCGTTATTTTATAATAATTAACTGCTTTGTAAAAAAAATGTATATTTACAAGCAAAGTTAAGCATTTACTTAAATTGGAATTTTAAGTTAATTAATGTAAAAAAAATATTTGATTTTCTAAGTACCTGTAAATATATATCAGTTTATTATGAAAGTTAAGTTCCAAAGAAATGAAACAAATATTCGCTTGTGTCTCTAAAAATATTATTTCATACACACATGTAATTCTAACTTCTAAGTCAAATCACTCAATTTTATATCTCAACTGTCTAATACAATGAGTAAACACCATTAAATATCATAAAATTGTTGGGAAAAAATAAACATAAATTACTAGTACATGTATACTAAATGGTTCCTCCAACAGGTTGTTAAAGTTGTGTATTTGAAGGGTAATTGCATTTTGATTGTCTTTTAATAGAGGCTCGCTACGTGCAAATTTGTCCATTGGCTTGTTATAAGCATGATTATTTTGACTTAACATTTGATGCAACTTTTTTTAAATAATGTTTCCGTTTAATGCAGGATTTAAAAATTGCATTATGTACGTGAACTGTGATATTTGGCGAAATTATATAAAACTGCTGCTTAATTGGTCCAGCTTCAATCTTTACCTCTAGTTTAAGTGACATTATGCCCATCCAAGTGTATAAATAAGTGAAGAAGTGAATGTCAAAATAAATTTTCATTTTGCCTTTATTCCTTTTAATATAAAACTTTTATTTCATATTCACAATAAACACGTATGGATCTGAACGAATTTTTCATAAATATTCAATAGAATTTACCTTTAACAATCATTTCATAAAAAAGTGTGGGGCAGTCTTTTTTTTACATTTAAGGCAGATTTTAATTTTATACTAAATAATTTCCAATATGACCTGTTGGTCAATCACCATTTTAACCGTCAATCTTTTGAAATATATAGTCAGTTTAGCTCAACTTGCATATGAAAATATGAGCATAATGTCACTTTAAGTCATGTACAGGATTTCAATTTCTTTGCTAAAAAAAGAATAAATTCCTCGTTTTTTTTGGTAGTAATTTGTGTTTTTCCTCAAATACTTGCCAACGCTAAATAACGTGAGTCATACTATCATCATAGAAACCTTCACGAAAAAGCACTTACTTTCGCTAGTCTAAGGTTTCATATTCAGCTAGGTGAACCGCACATGAGCTTGAAATGTGATTTTAACAATAATAACACTCCAGAACATGTACTTGTCTGTTGGAAACAAATAACATTTGTTTATTCATTATCAAGGGCCTGGTAAACTTTTCGAAGATATGTGTTATTAACAATATCAGTTATTTTATAATATATGTCTGAGTGGTGTTTATAAGCAATTCAACTTCGGCTGATTTTTTTTATGTGCAGGCTTTGACCTAGAAGGCCGCATGCAAATATGGAAGCGTTAAATAGCCCATAAACACTTATTTCGATTGCATAACCACGAAAAGATAAAAATGAAGCTTGTAAATAGATCTAATCCTATACTTTTACAATGACTTTGTTCAAGGTTTGGTGTTGTTTGACCGGTTCTTTCATTCTTTTTCTTTTTTATGTGTTTATTTTGTTAATGAAATATTTTATTTAACAAACATGAATGCTCTGGCTACATAACTGACATTGAGTTTCAATGAGAAAAATGATTCATTATCTCGATTTTGCATATCA